GGCCGGGGAGCCGGGGCTGCCCTCCGGCCGCACCTGGAGCATTTTCGGAAGCTCGTGTACAGCTTTATTTATTTCCTGCCGCGAGGAGTAACTCTGATACGCGGCCTGGCTTTAAAGGGGGGAGGTGCGGACTAGCAGAAACGCTGAAATCCAGCATAGGAAGCAAAAACAAAAGCAAAAACAAAACCAAAAAACACATACCTGCCTACAAAGTGCGGCAGGATCGAATTACAGGAGCTGGTGGTTATCCCAAGAACGCCGTTACAGATGTGCTGTGGCACAGCTGGGACGATAATGACAAATAGCAGCCCAGAATAATGAAGTGAGTTCAAATATTGACCTTGTCTTTGTGGAAAAAGAAAAAAGTGAGAAACCAGAGTTACAGCAAAAAACTGAGTGGAAAAATGGCCAAGCATGCCAGTATCACTCTGGTTGGAGGAAGGAGTATGCTCTAGGGGACTCTTTTGTCACTTCAGCTGGTTTTGGCATCAGCTGGTTTGGCTTCAGCTGGTTTTGTCACTTCAGCTGGCTTTGGCATCAGGCCCCCGGCAGTAGGACTGGAAATCAGCTGGCTTTGCAAATGGGCTGCACATTTCTAAAGGCATCTAGTACTTTCTTAGTATAGTTATTATGTTCTTATAGCCTCATCCTCGGGCTTTGCTGGATTTCTAATGATTATTTTTTACTCTGCCTTACTAAGCGAAAGTGAGAAAATAGAGACTTAACTTTGTTTGCTGTATGGTTGATTTCAGTTCTGTTAAGATATATAGCAACAGTAAACAGACTGGCTTCCTCTAAATGGTCACCGAGATTCTTCTGACATTCAGGATGAAGTCTTACAGACAGCATTTCCCCAGGAACAAGCAGTTGTTGTAGCATAGCCTTTTCCTCCTCACTAGAGTTGGCAAAAGTTACAAAACTGATCTGAATTTTTTTTTTCCCAGAATAACTAAAAGGCATGCTTTTCCTTTTTAGGGTTAAATACAAAGTGAATAAGAATGTCAGTAGTCACAGTCCAGCTTGGTCAGTGTGGTAATCAAATTGGGCACGAGGTGTTTAATGCTATCTGCAGTGACGTCCATGGCACGCATGGATTGTGTTCCAAGAAGGAGAATGAATCATACCATGACGCTTGCAAAGAACGCTTTTTCAGTGAGGAGAAAGCTGGAGGTACAGCGTTTAAAGACTTTTGTTTCCCACAGAGGGTCTTGTTTCTAGCCTAGCATAGTTAAGAATACAGAAATAACATACACTTTTACTTTGGTTGAAGAATTTTGCCTTCATTCTTAAAGACTTGTCACAACCATCTGTCCTCATGAGGCCACTTACAAAGGCAAAACCACAGTGCAGTAAAGCACCTGAGGCCACAGAGCAAGTATGCCAATAACAGAGCTGGAAACTGAGCTACCTATACGTAAATCTTTCCTTCCAACCTCTCCTTTTTTCCAATTTATGTAGATAATAACATGGAGCATGGTCATATCAAATCCCAGTTCTGTGTTATGAAAGGGATAGTTTTTTTCATGAAAGGTCTCTGGAGTTCAGATCTCTTTGGAACAATAGGTGGTGCTCTAGAAACTTGGAATGTTGCCAAGTTCTGCTTTCCATACTTTTCTGTACTGTCCCATTGAAGTTGACAGTTCAGTTTATATGGGTGGGAGGAATACAGTTTGGGCCTTGGTACAAGCCTGTCTGTCTGTTTGTCTTATGTAAACAAATTCTAAGACTGGCATATTATTCTTAGTTTTATTTTTCTTCCTCTCCAGTACCTGTTGCCCGGGCTGTGCTTGTTGACATGGAACCCAAAGTAATCAGCCAAACCTTATCCATAGCTGCCAGGTCTGGCTACTGGAAATATGATGATCGATCACACTTCTGTCAGAAACAAGGGTCCGGGAACAACTGGGCAAATGGGTATGAACAATCATTTCAAGCTTTGCTAACATAACTGTGGAGGGTGATGAGCAGACTAGACGCTGTAGGAATGGTATTATTGCAGCTGTGCAAGTACAGAGTCTGTAACATTAGCTTGTTTTATTTTTACGACAGAGTAACAATATGTGTAATAGCAAAATTTCTGACTGCTTTTTGCAACGTGAAATTGGCATTCACAGTGAAGAATATTTTAAAACTGAGTGATGAATATTATTAAAAAAGAGAAAACAACAAGCACATTTTACAAACAGCTGTTTTTTTTACAACACAAATGTCACAGCTGAGGATTGTTTCTGACAGGTAGAATTGGTGACACAATAGTAGGTTATATAACTAATAAAAAGAAAAGCGTGCTTTATGAATAGGTTGATGTTATTGCTTTTATTTTAATAGAATCTGCCATGTCTTGCTGCCTTCTCTGTTATTCAACAGTTACTCTGTTCACGGGCCTAAACACAAAGATGTAATCATGAATCTGGTACAAAAAGAAGCAGAGAAATGTGACCGTCTCAGTGGATTTTTCACAATAATGAGCATGGCTGGTGGTACCGGATCCGGCCTGGGAGCATTTGTGACCCAGTGTTTAAGGGATGCTTTTCCAGCCTCGTTTATACTAAACCATGTTATCTGGCCATATGGAACTGGTGAGGTGAATGTCATATGTACCTTACATATTCTACAAAACTTTAATCATGATTACAAAAGAATAGCAATGTAAATAAATAAGACTCCTTACTAGAAGTAAAAACAAAATGTCAACTACTGAAAGAGACTAGAAAAGAGAAAAATTTTACTTTTTCTAAGTTCAACATGACAGAAGGCAATACAGCTAATGAATTGTTTGCCTAATAGCTAGTACAGGTGGTTTCACACAAGAAAAAAATATTTCAGAATTATTTATCAAAAGGTTATTGTTGTCAATAAAGGTTATCAAAATTATTATCTCAAGCTAATAATGATAAAAAAGTTTATACCTTAGCTCTTGTACTACTAGATCTTAATGGAGTATCTTCAGAAGCTCTGCTATCTAATTAGAAATGTTACATTGTGTGAAATGTTATGTAGTTATGATAGTGACCAGGTACTATAATCAGTTCCAAGAGAGACTTTCTTCTAGCATGTTTGGATGAACTGAGCCGGATCGTATGATTTTCACAAGTCTTGCTCTCTGTCCATGAGAAAGCTATGCTAGCTCCTAGCCTAAATTTGGTAAAGAAAATGAATCACTTCCTAAATCAGACCTACGGAAATGATAGTACCCAGAGGAATATAAACTAGAAAGAATAAGTTGTTTGACTCTCATGTGTGTGCGTGGTTTTCTGCTTCCAGGTCATTGTTCAAAACTACAACTCCGTTCTGACTCTGTCACATCTGTACCAGTCATCAGATGCCCTTCTTGTTCATGAAAACGATGTCATTCACAAGATTTGTGCTCAACTCATGAATATTAAACAGATCTCCTTCAGGGATGTAAATCAAGTCATTGCACACCAGCTGGGAAGTGTTTTCCAGCCCATTTACACAGCAGAAGGTGCCTTACACTATAGCAGAAGCCCATTAGGTATTTAACTATAATGTAACTGCTTAATGCATTCTCATACAGCTCTGTAACAACCTCATTTTTGTGAATTTAAGTTCTCTAGTCCCCTTACCAAAGTGTTTAGATACAGCCCAATCTTTAAGATAGGATAATTAAAGCAAAAAAAACTAAAGGACTTAGAAGTTCAACCCCAATTTTGTAGCAGAGTGACGAGTATATACCCCCCTACTTCCAGTTTCATTCATTACCAAAAAAAAAAACGTTTCCCCTTTTACGAGTGACTACTATCACCCTTGATAAAATGATTTACATTTCAAAGGAAATTTGTGCAGGGCCATCTGTTTTGCAGCGAGTTTTGCATTAGGTTGGAAGATTATACGAGGAAAGGTTTGTGTTTAGCTTAGACAGAAGGTAGGGTAGCATACAACTTGGTAGCAACAAGCCTAGATTTGTATCTTTAAGGGATTAGAGGAAAAGTTACCCATATTGCCAGTGATGTGCTTATAAAAAAAAAAAAAACCCTCACATATGCCTGTCAATCTTTAGGTCTTCAGATTTCGAGCCAGACAAGCCTAAATTGTAAAATAAAAGCTATTAACTTGTTTATATAAAACGCAGTAGTATGTAGGATGAGTTTGCATTATTTTATCTGATGCGTGTGTCCGTGTCTGTCAAAGTTTACGTATCCTGCGTTGCTTCTTACCTTTAATTACTATATCTATGTAAAAATCCTTCATTCTCTTCTCCCATAGTAACTAACCTATGCAGTATTTTTGGCAAACATAAGCAGCTGTTACTTCTTTTTGCAGGAGACTTAATGGAGACCTTAGTTCCACATCCTGAATTCAAGATGTTAGGTCTTCGAAACATACCTCAGATGCCTGAAAACTCCCTAGCATACAGCACATTCAGTTGGCCTGGGCTCATCAAACATTTAAGACAGATGCTCATTGCTAATGCTACAATGGAGGAAGGTAAAAACCATTTACTCATCTTCAGTATCCATCACTGTTTAAGTTTAAATTTTTACAGCTGAAATAAAGCTTATTGTTTTGTGGCACTCAATGACTAGCTTTAGTCATTTCAAAAAGCAGC